GATCATCATCATAGCAGTGCCGTAATTCCTCCCTCTTCAAGAAGATTGAACCTCCTGGTTCAAAGGAAAAATCTGGTTAAGTTCAATGTCATTTTTGACTGATTGATTTTTTGGTTCTTTTTGCTTCAAAAGAGAGAGCAATTGTTTTTTTAAACAAAGTATAATTACAACAAATGTTAAAATACATAAAATAGTTACAATGCTAAACGTGGACGTTTTGTGTGAAAAATCTAAATTTTTTAATTTATCGTGTAATAAAACATTATTCAATTGTATGTCCGAATAACCCTTTACATCAGTATTTTCAAATAACATATTCTTATCATAGTTCACCATAATGTTAGGTATGTATAAAGGTTTCGAAATATCAGAAATCTTCAAATACTCAGTATGATCAATAAATGTTTTACAGTTTAAGCTGATAATAAAAGAGGAATCAATTTCTTTTCTTTCTTTGGTACAATCTTCATATACTGGAATATTCTTGTTAGTATTCACTAAATAGTTATCATGTTTTAATTGAATTACTTCTGAAAATGAACCTTTTGCCAAGAATGTACAATTTTCAACTTTAAGTAAGTTACAACTGGAATGGATTAGTATAGTACAGTAAAAATATTTATTACTCAATAATTTGCATTCATCACAAAAATGTATAGTTTCATTTTCGATAATATTTTTATGTTTCAATACCAGAATATTATTTTGGTGTATAATGGGGTATATATTGGAATATATAAAGTTACCAGTAACTGTTGGTATGTGAAGAACAAATATGATTTCTTCTTCGAGGACTATAATACTTAATTCACATAATTCGAAAAATTCAAAATTGTGCAGTTTATCAAGTGGGAGAAGTTCATTTTTGTCAAATAGATCACTTAATAACGAATGGATATAATTAATTTCAGTCTTACTCAGCTGTAAGAGATTTATGCCCTGATTTGTGCTCAGGTTAATGGTTAACAGTAAGTGTGATAAATAATTAGAAAATCTTTGAATAATTATTATCTCATTCAAGACATACTGAGAATTAGCGTATTCGCTATGCAATTTGTTGAGGTTATCCAAATTATCTCTCAAATTTTTCTTTATAATTAAAGTGTTATTTTCAAACCTGTCTTGTAATTGTTTTGCTACAGAGACGGTTCGGGAATTTTGTAATGATAAATTATCTTGATTTTCCTTCAGAATTTTCATATTTGCCATTATTTCGTCTAGATCAGATTGATCTAAATTGCCTGAAATATATTTTATGACGGAACCAAGACCATTAAATAATCCACGCTTAACTCGTTTAAATTTTAACATTTCATATTTGTCTAAAAGCAAATTGTATTCATGTTCAAGTTGTGTTATCAACGTATCATCTATTCTTTGCTTTGCAAAATAGACATTTGACGTTATTTGCTTGATATTTTCATTAATGAGAGTGAGATTTATATGAAAAAATGTCTTATGGTACGCTTTTAGTAGATAGGCGTTACCTAGCTCTTGCTTAAAATATGGTGCTTTATTCTCGATCAGCTGGATCTCTAGACCGGCTAGTTGAAGGGCCTGGATTAGGATCCTGAAAGTTAGAAATTTTGCGTTGCGGTTTCACTCTATTCAGTCTATGCTTTTTTCCTTTAGTGCGCAAATTAATATGGACATTTTCTTGTTCGTAAGAGGTCTCTTTAGAATACAGGGGTTTTGTTTTATGTGAACGATCTAATGCAGATTTAAGATATACTGGACCTTCTAAGGTTGGAATTTCCTTATTTCGATTTTGATTAATTTTTTCTAGTCTTTCCGTTGCCTTATCTAGTACACGGTTCGATAGTTCTTCATAAAAAGGTAGTAATTCTCTGTACCGTTTCTCGTTATATTCATCATATAATTTTGTGGGGGTATCGATCAAATGCTTATTCAAATCGTCGTAAGGACCGTATAATAATGAAAATGGGGTATATGTGGTCGTAGAATGGACACTTTGGTTATAAATTAAGATAGCTGTCGTCATTAGATCAATAATCGAATCGATTTTATTTTGCTGACGTAAAATTTTGAGTTTTTCTTTCAGGGTACTATGAAATCTTTCAAGAGGTGATAATGATGAGGGGTTACCTACACTAGTAACATGACATTCAATTTTGTGCATATTACAGAATTCTTTTATAACTTTTGTGTTAAGTTCACCAGGATCAAAAGTTATTTTGTCAGGATAATTGTGATGGGAAAAGAAGTGTCTGATTTTGTTTAATATTTCGTTAGATAATTTTGATTTTAAATTGTAGGCCTGGGCATATTTACTAAATAAATCAACAAATGTTAAAAATATTTGTTGTTCGACTTGAAAAATATCTAGAAATATATGTTCAAATGGTCTTTTGGCTATTAGAGGTCCTTCCATAGGGAGTTCGATTGGTCGTCTTTCGTATTTTGATGTCAAACAAGTATTGCACTGATTAATGTAATTTGATATTATTTTTTTCATATTTGGAGTGAATGCTTTTTTCTTGAAATGGCTGTAAGTTTCATTGATACCATTATGCGTTTGGCTATGATAGAAAGACAATTGTTCTGTAAATGAGTCTTTTAGTAGGTATATAGGCTTATAAGAAGCTTTAACAAATCTTATACCGCTGTTCGAAAAATACTGTTCTAAAAGTTCGTTAAGATTAAATTCTAAAAGTTGATTTTCATACCAAATACCATAAGTATGATCGGGCTGAAGATATTCCTTCATGAATTTCAAAAGTTGCTCTGTTTCAGATCCACTTCGGACTGTTACCATTAAAGTTCCATTGC